ATGTAAGATTGTACGATTCCAGCATGAACCCCCATGATCAATTCCTCCATATAGCCTAGATAAAGACTATAAATTAGACGTTTATAAGGAGATAACTCAATTTTCTAACCCTTTTATTTATTTTTACTTTATGTACCGCATTGCATATAGATTTACGTAGATTATTAGATTGCACTATATTTAGGCATGTTTATATTTATAGGGTATCACCATCCTTTCATGTTTCAGCTTAGGCCCTTGAAGTTATGGTTGGCTATTTCGATTGTTTGGGTTAAGTAACACATGTTCTAAATTATTTGATTTTTAATGTTTGATTTAACCGCTATATGCAGGAACATGACATCGCGTAACACTCAAACCAACATCGACCAAGGAAAAGGTAGGATTGTCTAGCCGTCATCCATAGTGTCTTCCACATTCAACATACAAATTTGGGGAGTACCTTTTTCCTTTTCATCCCCGTTCACTTATATTCTTACTTTTGCTTTAGAACATTATAGATAATATCGGTTTTAAGTTTGGGGTGGGAAATACTTTAAATATTCTTTTTTTGGGTTTTCTTATGTTTTTGTGTGTTTGCTTTAGTATATATTAAAAATAAAAAATAAAAAAAATTCTTTTTTAGGTTGTGTGCTTGTGTGTAATTTGATTTGAGATTGGTTTATGAATCGTGGATAGGATACATGCTAGACTTATTGAAGCTCAATCTTAACAAAGTCAGTTAGAATTAATTGGTATCTTAGGAACAAAAAAAAAGTAGCGAAAGCTATGGCACATTCAAGGGTTAGGTGCATTCACTCATTATAAGCATTATAAATTATTCTCGAGATATGAATAAAAACTTTTCCTTGTGAAAGAATGACTTTTTATAAGTAATTATAATCGACCCTATTCATAATACAAGAAATGAATCCATTATCTTGACTGAGACATGTTTACTTTGTCGGATATTTATTTACAAGTTCATTAGACATGATTGTACAAAAAAAAAAAATTATAATTTAGATATCACTTAAAATTGATGGGACTGTGGCTTAAATAATTTGGATGACTATTAAACTATTAGTCACATATAAATTATTAATAATGTGGATCATTTTCTTAATGGTTGATTTTCATTTTCATTTTTCTAGTATTTATGCAAATGGTTTGACAATAGACTACTTGATTATCCCTCATATCATATGTATGGTAGAGGATATGGTATTTCCATTTTTATCCTCTCCCACTACTACTACGATGGACTAAATAAAGATAATTTATTTGCTTAAAAAATTAGACTGTATAATAAATAATATTATGAATTTTGTTATAAATTAGAGAGAAAAGAAAAGATAACAAAAAAAAATCAATACACTTTTGTGTATCTAGTTCAGAGTCAAAGTCTCATATTTATGAAGAAAAAATAGGGCTTTAAGGATTCCCATTCTTGTCCTCTTCCACTACTTGAGTCGATTGAAAAGAAAAAAAAATGAATATAGAATTTAGACAATATAATATTTTAACATAAATTTTACTAAGTAAATAATAAGAGAGTATTTGGCTATTATTATATCTTTTAAGGTAATTTTAGTTATCTCTTCTACCTAAATAGCTAATTACTTTCGTGTTAAACTCATTCCAAAATGAAGATCTCAATTTCTCGTAACAACATTTATACATCATCTTGAATTCTTCCTATTCTCATTAACAACCTTCATACATCTACAAATATTTGGCAGAAAACTAAAGAACAAAGGATTATGCAAAGAATTATATTAAAATTTCGTGAAATTCAGAGACATAAAAAATAACTAGATCTACCAAGAATTACTCATTTGAATCATTTCAAAACACTAAACAATTTAACCAATAAATGTAACATATCGAAAATGAAAATAAAAATAGTTCATACGTCGGAGGAGGGGTGACCTAGAGCTAAATGAGTAAAATCATTGACTAGACTTTACACTTCATTCTTCATAATTATAATCTATTGTCGCCATATGCCAGGGATTGAAAACTCACCCAATTGTTTCTTCCCTCTTCTTCTCTCCGTTTCTTCTCTTCTTCACAATTTCTCCTTGTGGAGTGTGTACAGATGCTGAAAAACAGAGCATATTAATTTGCCAGACATTGTAACTATATCATATATGTTAGAGTAAATTATGTAAATGGAAGAAATCCTACATACCTATATCACTAATTGAAGAAATTGGAAATGTCAATAAATTTGTCATCTCCTATCTGTACTTCCTTAAGCTTTGGTGCATTTATCTGTCCCGAACAAAATTTTGTCATTATAGGGCAGTCTTCAATTCTGAATAGATCAAGTGAAGGAAACACAAATTCATAATTATGAGAGCAAAACATGTTGAATCTTGGAAGTCCAATTAGTTCTATACGCCTCAATTCATGGAACACAATATTGCTAGCCGTTCCTTCTTTAACCAATTCTTCTTCTTCTTCTTCTTCTCTTCCAAAGATTTCTTCAATTTCGCCACAAAATCTGACACTCAGAGTTTCTAAAGCCACAAACGAGTTAATCATAGAAGCCGGGAATAAGTACTTCAACCTGCTACATAAATCAACGTCAAGATGTGTCAAATTCTGGAAGACACGGATTCCTTTAGGAACCATCCTCGTAATGTGCACCAAGTAATCATCCGTCAACAGGCATAATGATTTTAGTTGACCAAGTATGCTGATTTCTTCTTCATAGTCTTTATTAACATTTAGACCCTCAAAGTCAAATATGACATTTAGTGCCATACAACCAGTTACTTCAAGAGTTTCAAGATTTTGCAATAGTTTAATTGAATTGGATTGTGCAATGTTCACTAGATTATCACAATTTCCCACTCTCATCCTCCATAATCTTTTTGGATTTTTAATGTTTGATTTAACCGCTATATGCAGGAATATAACGTCGCGTAACACTCTAACCAACATTGACCAAGGAAAAAGTAGGATTGTCTAGCCGTCATCCATAGTGTCTTTCACATTTAACATACAAATTCGGGGAATGCCTTTTTCCTTTTTATCCCCGTTCCCTTATATTCTTACTTTTGCTTTAGGACATTGTAGATAATATCGGTTTTAAGTTTGGGGGTAGGAAATACTTTGAATATTTTTTTTTGGGTTTTCTTATGTTTCTGTGTGTTTGCTTTAATAGATTAAAAAAAAATTCTTTTTTAGGTTGTGTGCTTGTGTGTAATTTGATTTGAGATTTAATATTGATTTATGAACCGTGGACAGGATACATGCTAGACTTATTGAAGCTCAATCTTGCAACAATTAAAACAAAGTCAGTGTAGAATTAATTGGTATCTTAGGAACACAAAAATGTAGTGAAAGCTATGGCACATTCAAGGATTAGGTGCATTCACTCATTATAAGCATTATAAATTATTCTCGAGATATGAATAAAAAATTTTCCTTGTGAAAGAATGACTTTTTATAAGTAATTATTATCGACCCTATTCATAATACAGGAAATGAATCCATTATCTTGATTGAGATATGTTTACTTTGTCGGATATTTATTCACAAGTTCATTAGACACAATTGTACAAAAAAAATTATAATTTAGATATCACTTAAAATTGATGGGACTATGGCTTAAATAATTTGGATGACTATTGAACTATTAGTCACATATAAATTATTAATAATATGGATCATTTTCTTAATGTTTGATTTTCACTTTCATTTTTCTAGTATTTATGCAAATGGTTTGACAATAGACTACTTGATTATCCCTCATAGCATATGTATGGTAGAGGATAAGGTATTTTCATTTTTATCCTCTCCCACTACTACTACGATGGACTAAATAAAGATAATTTATTTTCTTAAAAATTTAGACTATATAATAAATAATATTATGAATTTTGTTATAAATTAGAGAGAAAAGAAAAGATGACAAAAAAATCAATAAATTTGTGTGTATTTAATTGAGAGTCAAAGTCTCATATTTATAAAGAAAAATTAGGGTTATAAGGATTCCGTTCTTGTCCTCTTCCACTACTTGAGTCAATTGAAAAGAAAAAAAATGAATATAGATTTATTTGAGTTAAATAACAATTAATTAAAACTACACACTTAATAGTTATTCATTTATTAGAGTTTAATAGCCATTAAAATAAAAATTCTGAAAACTGACAAGTTATTTTTCACTTGACCTCAATTTAGATAAATGAGTCAAGCATAAAATAATCCGTCCATAATATGGTCATTGTCTGAACTACTCTATTTAGCTTTAAGAACTTCGAGTATTCCAATTTTTAAACTTGTCATGATGATTTTGAGCTGTATTTTTCTTTAAATCATTTTTGGATATATCGATAAATAATTTAAGTTTAAATTATAAAAAGAGAAAAATACTTGTTCCATAAGGAAATAATATTTATGAATTTCTTAAAATATATGGATAAAAATGTCTTGCGTTTCCTTTTCATAAATAGGATTAATTTGGGCGAAATGTTTTCTAGTTATAGGCCTATCCAAGTGCAGCCCATCCATAGGCTTTTCATTATTTCTAATAAAAAAATTCCAAACTTTTGAAGGCAGAAATCTCAAACTATTTATCACCGTTTGTGTTGAGAACAAGGTTTAGATATTTTTTTAAAATAAATTTTACTAATTAAATAATAACAGAGTATTTAGATATTATTATATCTTTTAAGGTAATTTTAATTATCTCTTCTACCTAAATAGCTAATTACTTTCTCGTTAAACTCATTCCAAAAAAGATATCAACTTCTCGTAACAACATTTATACATCATGTTGAATTCTTCCTATTCTCACTAACCTTTAAATATCTACAAATATTTGGCAGAAAACTAAAGAACAAAGGATTATGAAAAGAATTCTATTAAAATTTATAGGACATAAAAAATAACTAGATCCACTAAGAATTACTCATTTGAATCATTTCAAAACACTAAACAATTTAACCAATAAATGTAACATATTGAAAATGAAAATAAAAATAGTTCATACGTCGGAGGAGGGGTAAATGAGTAAAATCATCGACTAGACTTTACACTTCATTCTTCATAATTATAATCTATTGTCGCCATATGCCAGGGATTGAAAACTCACCCCATTGTTTCTTCCCTCTTCTTCTCTCTGTTTCTTCTCTTCTTCACAATTTCTCCTCGTGGAGTGTGTACAGAACCTAAAAAACAGAGCATATTAATTTGCCAGACACTGTAACTATAGCATATATGTTAGAGTAAATTATGTAAAATGGAAGAAATCCTACATACCTGTATCACTAATTAAATAAATTGGAAATGTCAATAAATTTGTTGGCTCCTATCTGTACTTGGTAAAGCTTCGGTGCATTTAGTTGTCCCGGACAAAATTTTGTCATCATAGGGCAGTCTTCAATTCTCAATCGATCAAGTGAAGGAAACACAAATTCATAATTATGAGAGCAAAACATGTTGAATCTTGGAAGTCCGATTAGTTCTATACGCCTCAATTCATGGAACACAATATTGCTAGCCGTTCCTTCTTTAACCACTTCTTCTTCTTCTTCTATTCCAAAGATTTCTTCAATTTCGCCACAAAAATTGACACGCAGAGTTTCTAAAGCCACAAACGAGTTAATCATAGAAGCCGGGAATAAGTACTTCAACCTGCTACATGAATCAATTTCAAGATGTTTCAAATTCTGGAAGACATGGATTCCTTTAGGAACCATCCTCGTAATGTGCACCAAGTAATCATCTTTCCTCAGGTATAATGATTTTAGTTGACCAAGTATGCTGATTTATTCTTCATAGTCTTTATTAACATTTAGACCCTCAAAGTCAAATATGACATTTAGTGCCATACACTCAGTTACTACAAGAGTTCCAAGATTTTGCAATAGTTTAATCGAATTGGATTGTGCAATGTTCACTAGATTATCACAAATTGCCACTCTCATCCTCCATAATCTATTTGGAGATCCGAATGGCGTTTCCACGCTTAGTATCTTTTCTATGCTACCCGACCCGGAAATTTCCAAATTCTCCATGTCAGGCAGTTCAACCTGTGAAATTCAGTTAATTGTATTTGCCAAAGTTCTCATCATAAAACTTCATCCACAGGTCAGTAATTATAAAAATTAAGAAAAGCTGAGCCATTCTACAAAAACTGACTGTAATTGATTTTACATCTATCCTAGTACGAAATTTTAAATAAGTGAAGTTAACATCAGTTTTCCTAAATTCCCTTATTCTCCAGAATTGATGCAAGCACACAAAAGGAATGATATATACATTACCTGGTTGAGCAATGTTCGACGAAGACCAACTGCATTTGGTTGAGATCTGAAGCTTATAAAGCTACTCAAATCATCAAGTACGACTTTTTTCAGCTTTGGGAACGAAAGCGGTTCCGTAATTTCATTTTCTTGCGTGTCCATTGAAATAACTTCTTCTAACGACCGACATGACCATAAATAAAGACTTTGGAGATTAACCATGCATTTTGCAACTGACTCCGAAAACAATCTTTTAATTTTAGCACAATCATAAACTATAATTTGTTTAAGGTTGTAGAACAGTGCAGGTTCCGAGACACCCCTCGTCACATGTTCCATCCTTGGAAGATTCCCATTGTGTATCGCCTTCAGATAATGCATATTCTCCAATGCCAGAGATTCCAAATTGCCGAACATGCCACTTGAAATGGAGCCTGCAGCATCAATAAGATACTCAGAATCCAAACGGTGTAGCTCCAAACTCTTCAAGTTAATGAAACCATCTTCAACCAACTCAATGACTGGATTGTTCCAACCTATCACGTTTGATAGAAAAAGTTTGTCACTTCTTCTCATTAATGACTTAATTCTAGGTTCCAAAAGCATGTTTCGGTCAATATTTTCGAGCTTCAAATCCCTTCGAAAATCCCTATGAAAACGATAAGAAGGATCAATCCCACTTTTGTAGATTTGAAATCTTTCCAGCTTCTCGAGCTTCTCAGAGCAACTTTGTAATAATTGCAACAGAACCCGAGTATCATCTGTGATAATCTGAAGAGTGTTGAGATCCTTCAATGAACTTAACTCTTCGATAATGTGCTCTTTTTCTTCATATCTTGGGTAGAGACAACGTCCCAAATACAAATCTTCTAGTTTCTTCATACCGAACAAAAAACCAGGGGGAAGTAGGCAGGGACCTTTCTTAAACCTCAAATCTAATAACCTTAGGTTGCTAAGTTCTACCATTTCATCACGGGAAAAATCAACAGGGAGAGAAGAATCCAAGAATGTGAGAATTTCCAACTTCTTTAGACTTCCAAAGGATGACATTTCAATCTCTAAAATACAGTCGTTCAAGCACAGAGTTTGGAGACCCAGCGGCAGTCGGATCGGTGATCGAATCTGAAATCCAGAGAAATCAATAACTCTAAGTTCCTGCATATAATAAAAAAATTCTCCGGTTATGTCAATTTTCCTTCCTCCCGAATAACATTGCACCCGTAAGAACTTGAGATTCCCATACTGTAACCGACTGGGTAGCAAAATCCTCCGTTGAAATGTTAGTGAGATGGCACTGTAGGATTCATGGTTATCATGTTCTGGCCACTCTGTCCTTATATCATGTTTCACCAAATACCTATGTTCACCTTTAGATGCAATCGATAAACAAAAATCTCTGATAACATCATGCAATTTGACCTCCTCCTCCCTATATCCTGATAGTAACAAATGACAACTTTTTAGATTATCAGAGATTGCATATGTCCGATCTCTGGTATCTAATAATGTCTCAGTATATTTAAACAGTCCTAGCCCCCTTGCATATCTAACTAAACTTTCAATTGGGATGCTCTCATCTTCAAGGAAAAGAGAGCATAGCAAAAGCAAGGATCTGTGTTCATCACTTTTCAAATAGTTGTAGCTCAACTCTATACTTGAGTAGACCACATCATCATGTTGAGAATTCCGTAGTTGATTAAGTGCATTCCTCCATACACGCAGTTCACTGTCTCTGAGTGTTTTGCCGGCAATCACTAGTGCTAAAGGTAAACCTTTACACTCCTCTGCAACTTGTTCGGCTATGGCCTTCAGTTCAGTAGTGATACTAGATATCTTTGAAATCTCTGCCACATCTTGAAAAAGTGCAAAAGCTTCTTCTCTAGGCAATACTCCAACTTCAATGTTCCTTTGAGCTCCCATCCTTTTGCAGACATATTCAAAGCGTGATGTTAATAGAATTTTCAACCCCTCAGGACGATTTGATGAAGGAATTCCTAATGTTTTCAAATCAATGTCTGTCCATACGTCATCTAATATTACAAGAATTCTCTTTTTATTATCCTGAGTAAGTCTTTCGGCAAGTCGAGCAGCTCTAGCAATTTCATTGGTCTTTTCATCGATTTTCAAACTGAGCATATCAGCAAGTTTATCTTGAATTCTTATTATGTCTACATCCTTAGAAACAACTCCCATGGCGACCTCATCAAATAATCCACCTTTGACTTCAGTCATTACTTCCTTTGCCATTGTCGTCTTACCTACCCCAGGCAAGCCACATACCCCAACAATGCTGATATCTTTGTCCTTTAGAGCTTTTATTATATCCTCCTTAGTTGACATCCTTGTCTTCAAAGCCTCAGACCCATGGAAAGACGACAACTTTAATGGTGCACGCCTGCGCACCTCATCAAATTTACCTTTTTGCTGGAGCTCAACAATTGCAGTAGCCTTCTTTGTGGCATTCCTGCTCAGCGAGTAACGGGTCTTCAAATTTGGACACCTAAAGTATAGGCATCGCATTTCAGAATTTGTTGTGCTATTCAAAACTTCATCAGCCTCTTTCTTTAAGTCATCAGCCTTTTTTAACCATGCATCCACCTCTGATTTAATAACTAACGCATTTCTTTTTGCACCATCCACTGATGATTGCACATCATTTCTCTTATTTTCAAGATCTTGCACTTCAGACCTCAAATTTTGAATGTTCCTATTGTAGCGAAACATGTATTTAAATTGGCGAGAAATTGCAGCAATAGTGTAATCTGCAAGCTTCTCAACAAAGTGGCCGACAATGGACTCCGCCATTATGAGCTCTATTTTTGTCTGACGAGTTCAGTTAGTACTTCCAAGCTAACCAAGGAGATATTACCAGAAGAAAAGCAATGTTAGTGGAAGCTATTGAAGTAAGAGTCTGGTAATCACACACGAGCATAGCGAGGGACCTTGCCAAAATTCATATATATATATTTTCTCCTTAATGTTTGAAGGGAAAATTTTCTAAGGTATAGGGAAATGGGAATATATAGGATATATTACACATTACATCTAGTGTTTTTAAATTTATAATTTACATTTATACTACACTCACTATAACACAACAAAAATACTATTTGCTAAAGAATGTTGAACTTGCTTATAGGTCATTATAATTTGCTACAGAGTCTAAAGTATCTCTATTTGGAAAAAAGAAAAAAAAAAAAACAAAAACAAAAAACGTAATATAATAAGCAGAAGAAAAAAAAACTAAAACAAAAAATCCACTATGTTTATTATATTATGTAACATGGTACCTTTTAAATTTTAAAATATTTTAATATCTATCAAAATTTTTAATACTAGACACAACGATCTTTTATAACATTTTTTTTATTTTTATTTTTTACATTAATGGATGGCTTTTTATTGTGTGAGATTCACAAAATATATTATCTTCATTTTTCTGAGAACTTCAACTTGAAATGAATAAAAAATTAATGTTGTATTAAAAATATAGAAAAGTCATTCGATTTTTTATGTTACTTACTAAATTCTAGGCTAATATTAAATTTTTTATTTGTTTTGAGCAGGATTATTAGCCTCGTTTTATTTTACACGTTAATGTATTTTAAAGAGTACATGCGTAATTTTTCTGTAGTGGATGGTCTTTTTCTTCTCTCTCTCTCTCGGAAAACTTGAAAGAGATTAAAAATATAAATATTTTTAATTTAGATATATAATTTCTCCTAGTATGTTAGGTATTCTTTGGTTATAAATATGTGGTGTACAACACATAATGGAATGGACAAATTGTTCAACTAGTTATTTGTCCAAAGAGATCTTTGGAGCTCCTCACTATTGATTATAGTGAATTTTCCATCTCTATCAGTAGTTTTCTCGAATTTGGATTTCCATGTAAATCTTGTTTTCTTTGTGATCCATTATTTTCACATTGTCCATATTTTCTTGTTTAATTATTTGGCCCGATTATAACTAGTGGTATGAGAGCCAAGGTCTTGGTGGTTCTTCGAAGAGCGAAATTGGTTATTAAAGCCAGATTGAACAAGGTTGGTTGTTTCAAGGATGATAAGTATGAAATTTGAATTCTGCTTTTGGATCACAACAAGATTTTTTGTTTTGGCTGATTTTTTTGTTTTAATGCTGGAGGAGAAGCAGCATAAGGATTGGTTATATATTTTGGAAGGTTCGATGATCACTTTGAATGTAGCTGCACCTTATGATTTAATAAGCGATGACTCAGGTGGATTCGGTTGTGATCGAGTTGTTTATGGTGATTCAAACAATAATATTGGAGGATCTTCCAGTAGCTCAGGTGGAACTAGCTGTAAGTTTGTTGATCACGTTGCTCATGATAATTTGAGTAGGTTTGACAACGTAGGTAGAGTTGAAAGTGCTCATGGTGATTTGAGCAGTTTTAGTGACTCGGCTGGACTGGAAGCGAACGAGATTATTCAAGCAAGGTTGGCAAGCAAGGTAATATTGCTACTAAGCAGGACTTGAATTTAGTTCACAGTTGCTGAGTACGCCCAAAGAGGCATGGTGGAAGAGGTGAAGTAATTTGGTGGAATGCTATTGTTTTAAGAATTTGGTTGGAGTTGAAGAGTTAACTTTTATTCATTGTAATGAAATTTGTGTCAAGATGGAGATTGTTAGAATTGGGTTATGACCCAAATTGTTATTGAGTATTTGATTGAAAATATTGTTATAATAGTATTGAGAGTTGGTATTAAACTTGAAGAAGTCTTGACGAAATTCAAGAAAGATAAAGAGAATGATTTCCCTTTTTAGCAGTTTTTTAACTCCTATTTCATCCCAAATTATTCATTATTGGTTTTACCCATTGTATTGAAACTTCACCTTATATTAAACCCTTTATATATTAATTCTCCTAAATGTTAGGCATTCTTTGGTTATAAATATGTGATGTACAATACATATTGGAATGGACCAATTGTTCAATTAGTTATTTGTTCAAAGATATCCTTTGTAGCTCCTATTGATTATAGTGAATTCTCCGCCTCTACCCGTGGTTTTCCCCAATTTGGATTTCCACATAAATCTTGTTTTCTTTGTGATCCATTATTTTCATATTGTCTATATTTTCTCGTTCTTTAATTATTTTGCCCGATTATAACACAATATGGTGTGCCAATTTTCAATGAAGAAATTAAAGTTGATGAGTTTTTGAATTTGGGTGACAATGTCAATGACGATCCCATAGCTTTTTACAGGAAACCCAATACTGAAATTTATTAAGAGTATTCCAAAAAATTTAGGTAAATAGTGGATTTTATTAATGCCTATACTTTGCGGTCTTAATTTTTATTTAATAAGAAAGAAGGAGAAAGGGGAGTTTGGAATCACTTACTATGAATGAGAATGTGCTAGGACAATATGTGGATTTTAAATGGCATTTGATGTTGATTTGGTAAGTGTGAATGGTGAAAATTGTGAATTTGGATTAAAAATTTTTATTGTACTGACTTAATGCTAATAGAACTAAAAAGTAATTTTGAAAAGACTTTGGGTGAAAATATGCTAGATGAGTCAATTGCATTTTTTTCTTATCTCGGAAAGAATGTAGCAAGCTCTTTTCACGAGAAGTTGCCAGTGGACCAAACATTTGATTAGGATGAATTTTGGCTTTATATTATATTCCCCTTTTATACTTTATTAGGTCAGGACAATTCTTTATTTTTCTAAGTTAAGGATTATAAGCCAAATTCATAAAAGATCGAAATTAGGTTGGATGTATTCAATTCAAACTTTCAAATACGTTTGTGGACTTTTTATCAACTGACAGATTTTCGTAGAGTTCATGATAGGATACAGGCTTTCATAAATTCTATAGAATTATGAAGGAAAGACTTTCGAAAACTCCTATAAAACTAAATTTTCAAAGACTTTTACAAGTTTTTATGTACTTTTGTAAACTTTCATTTTAAAGGATTTTTATAAAATTTCATTCAAAAATTTATATAATCATCAAAATATTACACGTATGGACTCAGAGAATTTGAAATAATTGAATTCGTATCAAAACAATTTTACGAATAAAAGTCATCCATACTTATCAAATAAAAATAACAATGAAATTTCACAATGGACCCATGCAACAACGAAAAAGGAAAAACCCACACCGGGAAAAAATAAAAATATAAAATACTGTTATAAAAGATTAATCTTAACCTATTGAAATTTATTAATTAATAATCAACCATTAGAAAAGAATTTAATTACAAATTTATTTCATCTTTATGAAAAAAGAGGGGAACAGTTAAAAAAGTGGGAAAAAACTCAAGGAAAAATTAAACTTTAATATTTCATATATTCCCTTCAATATCATAGTGACTGGGATAAGTTTTTTCTGTTCATAATTCTTATGAAATAAAATATTGAGAGATTTTATTCTGTGTTGTGTCCAATTCTTAATATTCAAATCTGATTCAACGAGTTCTAAAATGTTGATCAACTTCTCCATGCTTCATTGCATCACGAGGCAGATAATAGAGTTATCCAGAATTAGATTCCACTTGGATTAACTTTTTCCTGACCTAGAACTAATGGTTAATTTATACAACACTAAGAAAAAAGATTAAACAAAATAAAGAACTGAAATAAATGTGCATAACAGACATATATACCTTTGCTCTCTGTGTGTTGATGATCAGCTACGGACTTGTTGAGAAAGCAGCTGCTACCGCAGAAATTTTGAAAAATGTACAGAAATCTAGTCAATTAAATTCAAGAAACTATTTCAGAATAATAACCATAATGAATCATTTAGAAAATAATGCAATTGTTCAGTTTCATTACCAGAAGCTTGATGAATAGAAAAAAATTCTGAGTTTCAATTCTTTTTGCAATAATTGATTGTGTTTCCTGTTCCTTTCATTGCATGATTTCTGAAACTGATCAAGAAAGAGAAAGCAAAGAGCAGCAAGTAAAGCTGAGGAGAGTAGATAATTAATTAGAAGTTACACAAATTGAAACTGCAATCATTTTGGCTATTGGAATAGAGCCATATATATTGTCTCTTTAGAATTTTAATTGCTTGTTAAATGGGCATCGGTGTCCCAACCAGATGGGCAAAGTAGATAATCTCTAGAGGATTAAAGTGCTTACTTTTTCTGTTTATATCATAAGCATCAGAAGAAAAGAATATTTTGTTTTAAGGCCAAAGAAGAAACATGGGTTTGTGAAATTACAAGTAAACTTATAAAAATGAGATATATTATGGGCCAAACCCACTGCCAAAGCATAAATTCAAAAGATTAAGTGAGAGGGAAAAATACTTTTCCCTAGTGACAAGTATTACAATATTTTTACTTGGTTGCGCACGCACTTTCATGTACATCACACCACTTTTTTTCCCCTTTAACATTTTGTTACTTATATATACATAATGTTGAGACAGAGGGTTGTAAAGAATGAAGTTAATGACGCGATATGAAGTTAATATGGATTGCGACAATATAATAATATATATGAAGGTTTAAAATAAAGAAGAAAAGAGAGTTAAACGCAGAGACAAGATGTATTATTAATTGACAATTTGGAGAGAATACAACAACACAGCAATTTCCCTTAAACTAAATTGAAAGATGAGCCACATATTTATAGTACAAGAGTCAAACCCTAAAACTAGGCAAAAAATGGAAAGTAGGTTACAAAATGCATAAAAAGGAAAAAAAATTGTTACGTCCAAAGAAGGTGATTTTTTTCCCTTTTTCATAGATCCAATTTGATTCTTTAGAAATCAATACGCATCAACAAGATCCCAACCCCTAATTTGGGGCATAAACCTGACAATCTTCACCTTGACCAAAATTCTGGTGCAACGAGCGAAACTCAACAAAATTTCTCCACCTGAGAAATAAACTCATCTGCATCGAAATGAACTGGCTAATCTCCTCAACACAATAACCAAACTCTCCATCACCAAAACCATTTTCCCCTACAAGGCATCCACAAGTGACACCTGAACCCAAATCCTGGGTTTCCAAAATTTCACCAAGAAATTACTGTTGACCAAGAGGATCGAAGCACACCCTGTAGCAGACACCAAACCAAGTACTTGATCAAAAGGCCTCTTGTCAAAACTGTCACCTTCAACGATCCCAAAAGCATCACAGACATCAATAACACCACCGTACCTACGCTCCATGAGTCCATCCCTAACATTTGAACACAGTGCGTCCGCTGAAATTGGTGGTAAAGCGGAATCAACAACGCTCTCCCTAGCACTGTTCAGAACCGACCAGGAGCCCATCACAAGAGGTACTGTACCAAACTGTATATCCACCAAGGTACTGAACTTGTCTCGATGTCTCAAAACTAGTTTTGCGCTTTTCTACAATATGTACAATTGGGATCTCTTCCGTCCCTCCAGTACAACTTGGATACCTCTTCGAACCTTCAAGACTCCACATCCACCAGATAATTTATACCCTTTTGCATCCAGAGTACTCAGGGAGATGAGATTCCTCTTTAGATCTGGAATATGTCGAACTTGACCAAGTATTATGACCGTCCCATCCTGCAACCGTAATCTGACTCGACTGATTCCAGTAATACGGCAAGACTCATTGTTCCCCATTACAACTCCACATTGCTGAACAGTCTCATATGTCTGAAATAAATTCCTATCGGAACACATATGGTGCGAACATGCCGAATCAAGAATGCACTCCTCGTCAGGCTTAGATTCCATGTCATAAACCATAGTCAACATCACATCTCCGCCATCCGATAAATCCTCAATCACAATAGTCTCGTCCGAATTCCATGATTGTCCCCTATGATTTGCAGCTAAATCATCTTTAGCCTACAACTTCTCACAATCCTTCTTCAAGTGTCCTCTCCGTCTGCAGTAGAAGCAATACACATTGCTGCTCTCCCTAAATCCATTCCTTCGTCGACCACCATGAGATACAAGAGATTCCCCATCACTTGATGTAGCTCCAACCAGATGCTTCAGCTTCTCCTTTGAGTGCAATGCATCATAGACATTGTCTATAGTTAACGTATCCCGACTGTCACGGGTGGACCCACATGGGGTCATGTGGGGTCAAATGACCCCACAAAATTTTGCCCTTTTTTTTTACACAATCTACTTTGATGCACTCGTCGGGATGTCAAATGAAGTCAAAATATTACATTCTTAATACCATTTCAAAGTGTTCATGACCTAGTTTTTCACTCATTAATGGCATGCGAAGTGGTCAATTATAGCAAAAGTTATGACATGTTAAAGTAGGTCGTTTGAAACTAATATTTTGAGAGNTTGCGCACGCACTTTCATGTACATCACACCACTTTTTTTCCCCTTTAACATTTTGTTACTTATATATACATAATGTTGAGACAAAGGGTTGTAAAGAATGAAGCTAATGACACGATATGAAGTTAATATGGATTGCGACAATATAATAATATATATGAAGGTTTAAAATAAAGAAGAAAAGAGAGTTAAACGCAGAGACAAGATGTATTATTAATTGACAATTTGGAGAGAATACAACGACACAGCAATTTCGCTTAAACTAAATTGAAAGATGAGCCACATATTTATAGTACAAGAGTCAAACCCTAAAACTAGGCAAAAAATGGAAAGTAGGTTACAAAATGCGTAAAAAGGAAAAAAAATTGTTACGTCCAAAGAAGGTGATTTTTTTTCCCTTTTTCATAGATCCAATTTGATTCTTTAGAAATCAATACGCATCAACAAGATCCCAACCCCTAATTTGGGGCATAAACCTGACAATCTCCACCTTGACCAAAATTCTGGTGCAACAGCGAAACTCAACAAAATTTCTCCACCGGAGAAATAAACTCATCTGCATCGAAATGAACTGGCTAATCTCCTCAACACAATAACCAAACTCTCCATCACCAAAACCATTTTCCCCTACAAGGCATCCACAAGTGACACCTGAACCCAAATCCTGGGTTTCCAAAATTTCGTCAAGAAATTACTGTTGACCAAACAGGGTCGAAGCATACCCTATAGCAGATACCAAACCAAGTGCTTGATCAAAAGTCCTCTTGTCAGAACTGTCACCTTCAACGATCCCAAAAGCATCACAGACATCAATAACACCACCGTTCCTACGCTCCATAAGTCCATCCCTAACATCTGAACACAGTGCATCCGCTGAAATTGGTGGCAAAGTGGAATTAACAACGCTCTCCCTAGCAGTGTTCTGAACCAACCCAGAGCTCATCACAAGAGGTACTGTACCAAACTGTATATCCACCAAGGTAATGAACTTGTCTCGATGTCTCAAAACTGGTATTACGGTTTTCTACAATATGTACAATTGGGATCTCTTCCGTCCCTCCAGCACAACTCGAATACCTCTTTGAACCTTCAAGACTCCACATCCACAAGAAAATTTATACCCTTTTGCATCTAGAGTACTCAGGGAGATGAGATTCCTCTTTAGATCTAGAACATGTCGAACTTGACCAAGTATTCTGACCGTCCCATCCTGTAACCGTAATCTGACTCGACTGATTCCAGTAATACGGCAAGACTCATTGTTCCCCATTACAACTCCACATTGCTGAACAGTCTCATATGTCTGAAATAAATTCCTATCGGAACACATATGGTGTGAACATGCCGAATCAAGAATCCACTCCTCGTCAGGCTTAGATTCCATGTCATAAACCATAGTCAACATCACATCTCCGCCATCCGATAAATCCTCAATCACATTAGTCTCGTCCGAATTCCATGATTGTCCCCTATGATTTGCAGTTAAATCATCTTTAGCTTGCAACTTCTCACAATCCTTCTTCGAGTGTCCTCTCCGTCAGTAGTAGAAGCAATACACATTGCTGCCCTCCCTAAATTCGTTCCTTCGTCGACCACCATGAGATACAAGAGTTTCCCCATCACTTGATGTAGCTCTAACCAGATGCTTCAGCTTCTCCTTTGAGTGCAATGCATCATAGACATCGTCTATAGCTAACGTATCCCGACTGTATAATATGGTGTCCCGAAACGATGCATAAGAGCTCGGCAGTAAATATAACAGGATCAAGGCTAGATCCTCTTCATCATATTTAACCTCTAACGTCTCCAAATCTGTGATAATTTCCTTGAACATAGAAATATGGTCTTCCAACAACCCTCCTTCCGTCATGCAATGGGAATACAACTTCTGCTTTAAAGCCAATTTGCTAGTAAGACTTTTGGTCATGCACAACTACTCTAGTTTTAACCACAAAGCAGCAGTCGTTTTCTACTTCAAGATATCCTGTAGAATATTGTCGGATAGATGAAGATGAATCAATGACAAAGCCTTTCGATCCTTCCGTTGTTTCTCCTCCATTGTCCAATTAGTTGGCATCTTCTCAAAACCTAGCAACACATCGTCCAAATCCAACTGCACCAAAATAGTCCTCATCTTTACTTGCCACAACAAAAATTTTGTATTGCGATTGAGCAGCGGAATATCAAACTAAATGGTAGCCATCTCTAAAAAAACTTCAACCAATCCACAGAAGACCCAAGCTCTGATACCATTTGTTGAGATCGAGGGGTTGTAAAGAATGAAGTTAATATGCATTTCAACAATATAATAATATATGTCAAGATTTAAAGTAAAGAAGAAAATATAGTTAAATGTAGAGGTAAGATATATTATTAATTGATAATGTGAAGAGAGTACAACGACACGGCAATTTCCCTTAAACTAAACTGAAAGAGGAGCCACATATTTATAGTACACAAGTCAAACCCTAAAACTAGGCAAAAGATGGAAAGTAGGTTATGAAATGTGTAAAAAGAAAAAAAATTGTCACGTCCAAAGAAGATGATTTTCTTTCCTTTTTCATAGATCCAATTTGATTCTCTAGAACTCAATACGCATCAAAAGGATCCCAACCCCTAATTTGGGGCATAAACCTGACATATAGCCCATTTGGCTCGGATGCTTTTACCCTTGATGCGTATTTTGAATACGTCCATAAACGTATTCCCTATTTCATTTTTTTGGCCTTGTTTTTAACTAGTTCATCAAAAAAAGTTTTTTTT